CTGCGTCCATCTTGAAGATGAAATTCTTTCCACCATCTTGGAGGCCTGACATAACAGATGCTTTTTGATAGTCACCCACCCTTCTTTCAAAAAAGTTCGTCTTTCCTCTGCAGAAAGGAAAAAAAAAAAACAAGATCAAGATCAAGATACCAAACTAAGTGGTATGACATTAAGCTAATGACTGACCATTCCTACAATCCCACATACTTTGATAGGATGCCAGCGGCTTAAGTTCCCTGGAGTTTTTCCCAAGTTTATATTTCACATGGCGAATAGTTAAAAACAGAGAAAGTTTCTTTCTAAGTTTCCCTATCCAATGCAGTCATAATAACCCACCAATCCAGTCATTAGCAGCAAATAAATAAATAAATAAGACCTTACAAACCCAGTGAAATATTCATGCAGGATGTTCACTTGTAAATTATCAGTAAACCAGTTCTAAGAATAGATTAAAGCAGGCATAAACCACATTCTCAGAAATACTCACTGCAAAGAAATAAACTCCATCCAATCAAAAGGATTGTCCACATTGTACTTCCTCTGGTACCCTAATGCAACCTGGAAGGTAGGGTATATTCTATCACATTCATATTGACATGTAACACTAACAATAACTATAAAAATTAAACACAACTCCCCTAAATCCCTAGGAATTAAAGAAAGAGAAAAAAGGGAGGAACAAATCATCAGAGATATACCAAGAGTCTATCAGCAACAAATTTTATGTACTGGCTCATGAGATCTGAGTTCATGCCAATCAATGCACATGGGAGGGCCTCACAAACAAACTCGGTCTCAATCTCGACAGCTTCATGTACAATGCCATGAACTTTTTGCCAAGGTAATTGCTTCCGTAACAAACTGTAGTCAATAGCAACAAAATAACTTTCTGTCAGTTGCTTATTGTTATTTTATCAAATTTATTGAATTCCCTGATTCTGTGGGGACAAAAGGAATAAATCAAGGATTTCAGCAAGAAACTCCCTATAAGTAACTATTATCTTTTTCTTACAATCAGATGCGAAACTAGAAATTCAAGAACCCTTAAAAAATAAAGAAAAACATGAATTACCTGTACAGAAGACAAGCGAAATCACAATGGAGGCCCTCATCTCTGGAGATAAGCTCATTTGAGAATGTCAAACCTGGCATTAAGCCCCTCTTTTTAAGCCAGAATATGGCACAGAAGCTGAAAACCTCAAATGAACAATAAACAAAGGGGAAAAAGGTGAAGAAAACAAAAGAAAAGTTGTATCAAGCCTCATGACAAAAATCCAAGAAAGAAAAAGGGGTATGTGAGTGCACGCTACCTTCCGGAGAAGAAGATTCCTTCAACACATGCAAAAGCAACAAGTCTCTCTGCAAATGAATTGGAACTGCACATCATGCAGAATAAGAAATTGTTTTAGGCAACAGGTTCCTTGCTTTTAATCAAATAGAGAATATGCATGAACTACAAATGAAGCTTGATGACTACGATCAGCTGGTCTTAACAACGACAACTTTTAAAGTTGCAGTATGCAGTATGCAGTAGATGGTATGAAGTTCAAATATAATGTGATATTTACATATGATACAGCAGAGCTCTTAGTTTTGTTAGAAACTAAATATTTTGTCAAAATATATAAATTCCCAATTAGATATAATTTTAAAGATGTCTCCCCCACCACCCATCCCATCTCACTTCCCATGCGCAAAACCTCCTCGTTAGAAAGACCAAGTGTTATATTCAAAAATTGTAGGCTGTATAACTTTTGTCACTCCTATATGCACACTTTGAACCTACAGACACAACATAGATATCACACAGGAGGAAGTTCAAGTTATTGCATATGTGATTTCCGTTTGATAGAAATGGCCCTCCTACACAACTCAAGACAAACAACCCATTCTCTACTCAGGCCATATTATAACGTTAAATTTTAAAAGTACTAAAGAACTTCAAGGTTAACACATCAAGTACATGATTTTACAAACGCATTTAAACATGATTGCATGTATCAAGTACAAATAAGTCCAGCCACACAGGAAATATAATCTCCTTTATTAGCAATTATAAAGCACTCCAAACCCAAAGATTTGCCATCTTTGCTTATACCAGGAATACAGAAGAAGAATGCACACGTACCTGTGTATCCAATCCAACGCCCACTTAGCCTTCCTAGAGACGCAAGGAATGCTTTCAATTGCATTGAACAATCTATGTTTCTCCATTGAATCCTTGATATATGTCTCCAAAAGCAAGCTGTACATCTCTGATGATAGACAGTATTTAAAAAAGGAGCAAAGAGAAAACCCCTTAGGCAGGTGGCTCAATACATTATAAATAGAGGAAACAACAGAAACCATGTTAAAAGTTCTACCAGAATGAATATTCTCCATTGCAAGTTGAAATCCATAGAATGCCCGAGCCTGAGAAGAACGAAAAGCCTTAGTGTTAGTTGGTCAACTAGGAGAAAATAAAAATGGATTTTAGTCTAATTATGGGGCAAATCATCAACAGTTCAAAAATTATAGGCTGAAATAGGAGAGAGGGAAAATGTTTTGGGAAATTCAAACACTCTTCTTCATATAAAGAACAGATCATAGCAGACAAATCACCTCTGGAATCTGAACATCGTTTAGAAATCTTGCAGCCAAATTCTCCAAAACAATCCCATCAGATGCGGCAAAAAATGCCAGGACATGACTTACAAAGTGCTTTTCGGAGTCAGACAAAGCATCCCACTGATGTACATCCTGGGAGAGATCAACCTCCTCAGCTGTAAGCCAATTAACATGTCATTAGAACATGCTGTGGTAAAAATAAAAATAAAATAATAATGAAACTACTCAACAGCAGATACGAAATAAAGTGACTGAAATATAGGCCTTAAGTACACATTGTAAGCAATAATTCAACCACGCCTGCCAAAGACTAGATATGCCGAGCAGAATTGCAAAAGCTCATATGTTCAAGATTGTAGATTCAGGATTCTCTGAGCAAGGCACTACATGCTAGTGCTATTTACCATGGGCACAAGCCAAGTAAATCACAAGCACTGCTACCCATTTAACTCTATCTGACATCAGAATACCTTGGTCTTGAGAGGTCATATAGCAGCCGAGATTTGCAGCCGCCAATGGGTTTGGATTTACGTAAGGCTTTATTATTTCTGGTTCATGCACGATTCCATAAATAACCAAATGTATAATGTTCTTAGGAGAGAGAACAAAGGTAAATGAAGCACAAGAAAACATCAAATGTGCTCCCTTTCAGAGAGACACAGCAAACGCCAACAAGTATAGTCTAAAGTAATGTTGGGGACCCAATAAAGGAAAAAGAAGACACTACTTTCATGAACCCACAGTAACAAGTCCAACAACTGCAAAACCCAACCGAATTTTGAAACCAAAATAAAAGCATTAACAAATCCCACTTCAGATTTCTTTTGAATTATACTCTCAATTCCAAGGAAGCATACCTCCATTTCCAACCCAGAAAAACAAAAACACAAAAACAAAATCCAAACAGGGCAAGAACCGAGTTTTCAAAGTACAATTCCATGTGAACATGTTTTCACATTAAAAAACCAAATATCAATGAAATTGGAGAAACAAACAGATACCCATTTCAAAACAAACACCGATAAACAAGAAAACACCAAAATTAAGAAGAAATATGAGAATCTTTCTTCTGTGTTTTAAAGACATATAAAGAGGAAAAATGAACAAGTACCAGTCCAAAAACTGGCCATAGCCTTCTTGTACATCTCCCAGACTTGCTTGTACCTAATAGGAAACATACAAAACCTCTCAGATTGCTCCATCAATATTGGCTCTTGCTCTGTTTCTTCTTCATGCTCTTCTCTGCCATTTGTAGCTCCCTCTATCCCATTTTCCAGAGAACCCATTTTCGCTGGGTCTGTGGGTTTAGAGAGAAACCCTACAAAAACCTCCACAGGAGAAACACTGACGAGGTTGAATTTGACGGGATAGCGTATCAGACAAGGCCGGTCTCCTATGCTCCGGATAGATTTTATTTACTTTTTATTTATTTATTTATTTAGTTCTTTTTGTTTGTTTTGGTGTGCATGGTGGTTATTGGTTAATGTTTGGGATTCAGTTGGACTATGCGACAGGCTCGGCATTTCTACATTTTACGACGACGTATTGGAAGACGGTTATATTTTGGCGGGGTTGAGTTGGATTGGGCCACTGGCTTGCAATATGAGAACTGGACTATAAAATCTTATAACCCAACTAGCTTGGGTCTTTACCCGAAAATGTTTCAAATGTGGGTTATTTAGTTAAGATAGTGAGTTCGGTCTATTTCATCCAAATTCGAATATCTTTTATGTAGATTAGAAGTTAGAATAATTTACACTATCGCTTAAAAAAATTCAAAAAAAATTATTATATTTTGATTGTGTCAAAGCCCTTTTTATATGTTTCATTTTTGGGGGTGTTTTTTTGGACCCAAAATGGAGGTTTTTCAACAACTAAAATCCTAAATTTTTTGAAATATGAGAAGAGTATTCTGAATGTATACCAGGGTTGATCCTAAGATTAAACTTTAAAATAACACTCTTCTATAAAATAATTGTTTTATTAAATTTGGCTGCATATATAGTATAGGGCAAACATATTATCTAAATTATAAAGGAGGAAGTTTCTCACCCACACACTACCAAAGTGTTAAAGAATTTAGACCTGAAACTACTGAACTACAAGTCAATGCTTTCTTATTGGCACAGCAATCATATTGTTAACATTTGAATTTACTACTCTTTTATAGATTTCATGAGTTACTAACATTAAATTAGCATATATTGACCTGTTGTACTTCATAGGCCAAGCCGCCACGTCATTGGCCAACTGGGCTGGACATGTTTAACTAACCAGGTTTCTTCTGCTATGTGACGTAAGAAATGACGTTTGTCAGTTCAATCAGCTCTCTATATAACCTCGCCTCCCTCCACGTTTTTGACTTCAACTTCTGCTTCTCACTGTCTGAAACTGAAACACTGTGTGAATATATCAAAGTCCAAAATGTCAAGTGCTGAATGCTTCAAGAACCCACCAGTACTGGGCCCAACATCTGGAGCAGGGACTCTCCTAGAACTTGGGGGACTTAAAACGTACTTCACTGGCCCAAGTGAATCCAAGCATGCCATCCTTCTAGTCTCAGATGTTTTTGGTACCAACCCATCAACATTTTCTTCATTAATCTCTGTTACATAAGTTGATTTTGATTCTTCTTTTTTAGCTTAAATTTGGAAAGACATGGGAGTGTGTTTTTGAAAACAATGATGGGTTATGAGTGAATTGTTTAGAAGAAACTCTGTTGATAACTGGGGCTAATAGCAGATTAAAAGCTAGTTGGGTTTAATACTAGTGGTTTTAAATTTAACAACATGTTGGTTTGCTTGTTTTTGTTATGTTTTTGCAGGGTATGAAAACCTAAATTTAAGGTATGGTTCTCTTCTCCCCAATTATGTCAGGGTCAGTGGTTCTACTTTATTAATCAATAAAAATGATCAGATTCATAAAAGTATGCTTCTTTAGGGACAAGTTATAAAATTGACTGGTACTTACTCTTGTTTTCTAGTAAAGAATTATATTAGTCTGCAATCTGCATAAAAGTGCCTTGCTTTGACAGAGAAGCAATATATATATATATATATATATATATATATATATTATATGAGGGTCTTTGAATCACTCCCCTTAATCAAGATTGCCATTTGAGTTGGGTTTCATTTGTCCTGATATGATAGATATCTGTAGCCATAGTCATTACTTATTCAATGAAATGAATGTTCACATTGATTGCTCTGGAAAGGAAACTTGCGGATAAAGTTGCTGCAGCTGGATTTTTTGTGGTAATTCCTGATTTCTTTTATGGTGATCCTGTTAATCTTGACAATCCGCAATTTGATCGAGAGTCGTGGCATAAAGCTCACAGTAGGGTAAGCCTCTTTCTTGATAGAAATAGATACAATCTTTGTAAATGGCAATTAGGATCCTTAGGAACAAGAATCAAGAAAAATGAATTGTACATTTATGGTTTACAACCAAAGCAGAAAAGGAACAGTTTATATATTGGTTATGTCTTTTGGACTGCTTTAGGAGAAAGGATATGAAGATGCCAAACTAGTGATTGCTGCTCTGAAGAGTCAAGGCATTTCTGCCATAGGAGCTGCAGGCTTTTGTTGGGGAGGTAATTAAGCCTTCTAACTTTAGGGTAAACTAGTTGTCTATAGAGAGCAGAGAGTGGTTTAGCTGATAAAATGTGGCTTGCATTGCATCACATTTGCTTCAGGGAATGTGGTGGTGAAACTAGCAAAGACCAATGACATTCAAGCTGCTGTAATTTTGCACCCTGGTCGGTTGACAGATGAGGAAATAGTTGGTAAGTTTCTTGCTTTTAAACTCATCATCAGAAGTACTCGTTACCAATTAATTAGCAACATGCTTGTACAGAGGTTAAGGTTCCAACTGCAATATTGGGAGCTGAGATTGACAAAACTTCACCCCCGGAACAAATGAAACATTTTGGAGAGATTTTATCAACTAAATCTGAGGTAAGAATCCCTCAGAAAAACTACTCATATTTACTATGGTACTGCTGGCTCTCCTTTCCAGCATCTAGATGAAGCCTAGGTAGCATCCTTTAGTTTCAAGACTTAAAATTGGTACTCAAAAAGCCTTTGTTAAACAAGAAAATAGAATCATCTCTTTCAAATTCCAACTTCTGTGGAAGTAATAAAATAAACTTTCTGCCAGTTTTTTATTATTTATTTTTTATTATAAATATTTATAACTAAAGAAGTTAACTTTTTACATCAGATATTCATATTAGTTTTGGCTTTTACAGATTCTACCTTTGGTATCAAAATTCACTCTATCATTTATATTGTTTTCAGTTTAATAGCTTTGTGAAAATATTTCCTGGAGTGGCTCATGGATGGACAACAAGGTACAATGCTGAGGATGAATCAGCAGTCAAGAGTGCTGAAGAGGCTCATTTGGACATGTTAAATTGGTTTACCAAGTATGTCAATTGAAAAAGATTGTTGGTACCAAACTACCCAAAAGAATTGGCAACAGGGTTGCAACTATTGTGGCATGTATAAAGATGATGAGCTTTTGAAGCCTCCACAACCCTAAGGGCCTTGGCAAACTCTCTTACTTCATGATAGAGGTGAAATTTGAAGATGTGGGCAGGTGGGTGAGAATAAAATGATGTATCCACATAGTCTTTCTAGGCATTTCTTAGAGTTTGACTGGACTGAATAATAGTATATGATTGTGTATGAAACATTGAGACTGAGCAAGTGGCCTGTACTATTAGCACACATAGCAAATGTTTGGTTTGTAAAATCATATTTGGAAAGTTCAGAATGAGCCAAAAAAATTTCTACCTATTTAACTAATAAATTTTAATTTCTTTTTTCAAGGTAATGAAATTCATAATTTCTTTCTCTTGAGTGTAATTTTCAAGTTACAGTTCATATGATCACTCATGATGTTGTGAATTCACACTAAACTTAACTTCTTTATCGGGAATATGGTTATGTTGCCTAACTTATGTTTATAAGGAGCACAATCATGTTCGTGTTGTTATCATCTAAATGTTATGGGGCACAATTTGTCTTTGGGTTTGCACAGTTTTGATGTCCTCTTCACTTCTTTGCTTTTATTTTAGATGATGATAGATTAGACCGAATATCGATCCGAAGTGCTCTTTGTTAGTTTATTTATTTATTTTCGGATTAGTCCCGCCTTGTGACCAAAAACATGAAATTGATGACCAAGTTCCATGTTTCCGAGATTTTATAAACGTGTAACTCAGCCACGCATATACTTCCAACTTTTTGGTGACGTTTGAGATGATGCAAACAAATGGGGCACCACCTTTCTTCTTAAAATTTCCAATTTTAGGCTGTTGTAGCTGCAAAGTTCGATTTTGATTCTGACCCAAAAAAAATAAACAAGACAACACCTTTCCAAGTTCCTAATTACTTAGAAAGTTTGCCTTTGACACACAGTGGTGTGTGTTTGTGCATTTTGTGATCAGAGAAGAAGAAAGGATGTCAGGCCTTCAGTGCTGCTCAAACCCTCCAACCATCAACCCATCAAGTGGCTCCGGCCATGTTGAAAAGCTTGGTGGTCTCGACTCCTATGTCACTGGCTTCCCTGACTCCAAGCTTGCTATTCTTCTCGTCTCTGACATTTTTGGTACTTGCCCACCATTTCAAAAACCTGTCTCTGTTTTTTTCTTTTCGTTTGGTTTAATAGTTTGCATTTTTACTTCATTGTGTGATATGGGTTTTGTTGTTCTTTCCTTATTGTGCATTTGATGGGTTTTGTTGTTCTTTCCTTATTGTGCATTTGATGGGTTTTGTTGTTCTTTCCTTATTGTGCATTTGATGGGTTTTGTTGTTCTTTCCTTATTGTGCATTTGATGGGTTTTTGGTTCAATAGGCACTGATTTTTAGGCTGTGCATGTTAATGGATGCTCTGATTTTGTTTGGTTTACTGCTGAAGTTTGGTGGAATCAGTGTATGTCATTTTCGTTTCCCCTTTCCCTTTGTGGGTTATCTGCGTCCTTCATGATGTTTGATAATCTAGCTTCAATTATGTTCAATTTGGTTATGAAAATACTTTTATGATATTTAAACTTTATTTTCGCCTTTGTGTGTACTTTTAGTGGGATACTTATCTTTTTTTTATTTTCTCTGTCAATTGAGAAAGAATGTTCTTTTTAAATACGATTATTCATTTGTATCTGATTATCCAAATCATCTTATATAATTGTTTGCTGTGATGTTATATCACCACACTACTTTTAATATTACATGTTGCTTTGTCATGCAGGATTTGAAGCTCCAAACTTGAGGTAGGACTTATTCTCATATATGTTTCACATTGTTTACAGCGTATTTATTGTTAGTGCATATAGTTCGAACAGTCCCTTCCCTAATATCGACTCCTGGCCAGCAGTTACTCTTGCTGATTAAATTTGATGACTTGGTGTGCACTTTGGAATAATTTGCTTGAAGAGTACAGTCATTGAGGGTTTAAAAAAGGTTATAATAGGTCTATATGTAACTAAATCTTGAAAAATAGTTACAAAGCCATTAGTTTCAGGTTGTCTATCAGATATAACAACGGTCGAATTCCATGCCTTTTTGAGGTTTTCTGATGCTTTGAAGATCCCTTCCTTTATTTAGAGTGTTCACTCTGTAATATATATGAGGATGAAAATTTATCCTCGCAGTTACTGACATCAGAGATTTTCTTTGAAGGACAAATGTGTGTAGAATCGCATTTCCATGATTCCATAATCTTCTACACTCTTGAACTAATGCAACCTGCCTTCCACTTTGAAGGAAGCTTGCTGACAAAGTTGCAGCCGCTGGGTTCTTTGTTGTTGTCCCTGACTTCTTGTACGGAGACCCTTATGCACCTGAAGATGCCAATAGACCTCTACCTGTTTGGATAAAAGATCATGGACCGGTCCGTTCTTTTGCTATTACTTTTACTTTTATGTTTATCTATTTTGTTCTGTTTTATAACCCAAGTACTTTTACAAGTATCATTGAGTTTGCATAAAAATTTCAGATTCTTATGTTTATGGATTCAGCTTGGCAGTCATAAGAAAGTTTGGCAGTCCAATAACTATTGTTATGTTAAACTTTTTAAAGTTGTTCACTGCTGGGACATTTTGCGACAATGTTAAATATGTGTTCCTGATAATGTGGTATTACAAAAGTTGCTATCAATAATGGATTATTCAAGTATTGTAAAAAAAATTGGCGTCTGAATCTATTTTTGTTGATAGGCCAAGGGATTTGAAGATGCAAAACCAGTTCTTGGAGCTTTAAGAAGGAAAGGTTTTTCTGCAGTCGGTGCTGCAGGCTTCTGTTGGGGAGGTGAGTTAATTTTCCCTTCTCATTAACATCTTCATCACTATGTTTCATTTTGCCTTGCATTGAAACAAAAATGTCTCCTGTTTAGATTTTTTTTTTGGTGCTAAAATTTATGAAGTCTTTTTACTTATCACACCCTCATTTCATTAGTTCAACCCATATGGAAAATATTGTTCGGTTGACATAGATTTTTGTCCTGTTCTCAGGTAAGGTTGTGGTTGAACTTGCAAAGCACAACTTTATCCAAGCTGCTGTTCTCTGTCATCCTTCATTTGTCACTGTGGATGATATCAAGGGTAAGATTTCTGTATGTAATATTCAGAAAACGCCTACCTAGTTAGTATAATTATCATTTTAAACAAGTATCACAATTAGGGTGCTACACCTGTTCCCTCTATGCCTACCAGCAAATTTTGAAAAGAAAAAAAAAAATATATATATATATATATATATATATTTGAGGAAGATTATAAATAAATAAAACAAAGTAAAAATCAGTCACAGTTTAATGATCTATTCCTGGAACTACTTTTTTCAGCTGTTAAGGTTCCTATTTCTATACTTGGAGCTGAGATTGACCATATGTCCCCACCTGAAGTCGTGAAACAATTTGAAGAGGTTTTAACTGCAAAGTCTGAGGTTGGAGTATCTTTGATCCAAACAATCTTCATTACTAGTGCCTTTGTTTTTCTTATATATTATGGCGTATAATTATGCCATGGCTTATAGTTATAGGTAGAACTTTTCCTTACAAGATCAGATACCATTTTGTTTGAACTTCAAAAACATTTTACTTTTGTTCTTTATTCTTTAAGAAACGATAGGAAGACACCAAAAACACCCCATTCAAATTAGGGTTCATAGACTGTCAAGACCTTGATGGGGAAAGAGGCACCACTGTGGTAGCTAGCTGGTAGTGAGAAACATTTCAAATTTGTTGAAACAACTGTTGGTTTTATGTAATCACAGGTTAAAAGCCATGTGAAGATATTCCCGAAAGTGGCACACGGGTGGACCGTGAGGTACAATGTTGAAGACGAAGCAGCTGTTAAGTGTGCTGAGGAGGCTCATCAAAACTTGTTGGAGTGGTTCTTGAACCATGTCAAGGGAATCAGATCATCACTGTAGTGTTTCTTGAACCATACCTGGACTTTTATGTTACAATATATGTATTTAAAGAACTTTTTGGTTGTGGCTTGGGCCTCTGTGTAGCTAGAAAAAAACAAATAATATTGTGAAACAAATAATATTGTGGAAGGAGGAATTTGAACTCAGCATTTCGAGCACAGGGTGAATGCTCTTAGCCAGCTAAGCTACTAAGTCCTTTGCAATAAATTGATGCCCTTGAATAAAAAAAAAGACATTTGTTCCTCCTTAGAATTCTAGTTCAATCATTTTCGTTTTTTTGGTGTGGAAGGGATAGGAAGGCCGATACATTCAACACTTTAGAAACTCACCAACTTTGGTGTTACGGAATTGTCAAGTTAGGACTTCCTTCAATAGAGTGGTGACTTGAGTGTTTTTTATTATTTTTATACAAGCAATATTAAGGAGAAGGGAGAAATTGAACCTAGGACCTCAAGTGTGAAGACAAATGCTTACTATTTGAGCTACAAACCCTTGCAAATATTAAAAATTGAAGATAGAGTGTTATTAAAATGGGTAAAGTTAAAATATATATAAAACACTATAAATGTTTTTTTTTTCCATACAAACAGTGTCAACACTGTAAGTGACAGAATTTTGTAAATGGCACTATGAAAATTGTGAAATGATGCTTATTTTGGTGGAAATTAAATTCGGGAATTTGATACTCCAATTTCCACGATTTTTTCCGTGCATCATTTAATAAATTCCGCGCTTAAGTTGTCAAACAAGGAAATTGTCAATTTCTACTCTTATATTTCTAAATTTTAATTAAATTCTAAGTTATTTTCTCTCATTTAAACAGAAAATAGGATTAAAATGGTGAGGAAAAATATTTGCTATAATTGGAGGTGGATACGAATCATTGGAGTTATACTTTTTCAATTCCTCCATAAATTTCCACCTTTTTTTTTTGTTTTTTTGGATGGAACCTGGAAATCAATACCAAGGCACAAATAGCGCAAGCAAATACATAAGCAGGAGTCCAATTAGTAGGGGACTACAAGCACGCATGTAACACAGCCAAAGATCAATCAAAATACAAGATAAAGCAGAAATGTCAGATAAAGAAAGAAGCAGACAGTGCCATAGCTGGGCTCCTGCTTTCGACGTTCTCTGCCCATAAATTTCCACCTGGCTTCTTAAATTCCAAAACTTTGACTAGTCGTTGTCTTTTTTTTTTTGGTCGAAAGTCGTTGTCATTTAGTCAAACGTGCACACCTTTTTTCATTTTTCATTTTTGTGGTAGTTTAACCTTTTGCCTTCATCCGTTACCTTTTAGCTCATTCGAATAGAGAGGCATAGAGAGCGTGTGTGTGCATTTTTGTGGTCTAGAGAAAAACAAACAAATGTCAGGCCCTCAGTGCTGCTCGAACGCACCAACACTGAACCCATCCAGCGGCTCTGGCCATGTTGAGAAGTTCGGTGGTCTGGACACCTATGTCACTGGCTCCCCTGACTCCAAGCTTGCTATTCTTCTCGCCTCTGACATTTTTGGTACTTTTCCTCCCACCCAAATCTCAAAAATCTCTCTTTCTTCATTTGTTTCAGTATTTTGCATTTGTTTCTTCATTATATGATATGAGTTCATGTGCCTAACTGTGTATTTGAGTGATCTGTTGGTGTTTTTGGTTTATTGGGTACTGGTTTTTCAGTTGTGTTTGTTAATCGCTCCTCTGAGTATGTTTGGTTGACTGATGAAGGAATCATTATCTGAATTTTCCCTTTTCCCCTTTCGTCTTTGGATTATCTTTAAAAATAAAAATAAAAATCTTGCTAGTCTCAATTTGGTCATGAAAAAAAAAAAAATTGATATTCGTAACTGCTTTGTGATGAAAGCTTTATTTTTTGCCTTTGTATGTTTACTTGTGTCCCCAGTTTCTGTTTCTTTCTTCCTTCCTTCTTTCCCCGTTTGTTCCCAGTTGCGAATCCGAAACTGGGGTGAAGGAAGTGGCGGTATTAGTGTAAAATAATTGAGTTTCAATTCTTCCTTTCTTCAACTTCAAGGCATCTGCCTCTACTATAATTGCTTGCTTTGATATATTATCAGGACACCGCACCACTTGCTAATAGTACATGTTGATTTTCCATGCAGGATATGACGCGCCCAACTTAAGGTATGACTTATTCCCGCATCTGTTTTCCTGTAGCTACTTTATTTCTTTTGCATAGTGTGATAGATAAGTTCTCTGAATCGATTTTTCTTGAATTTGAACTTGTTTCTAAATGTTTTCCCTTGTCTAATACCAATTCTGGACCACCAACCACACTTTGCTGATTAAATTTGATGTCTTAGTCAACACTTTGAAATAACTTAATTAAAGAGTACAATCGTTAAGGGATAAGTTAAAAAGATTATATTAGATTTATGTGTAACTAAATTGTGACAATAGTTACAACCATTAGCTTCAGACTGTGTATCAGATGTAGCAACTGTATTTTGAGTGTGGACACTGTACCATAATGAAGGATCGTTCGTCCTTTTAGTTTCTAACATTGGAGATTTTTTTCGGAGAACAGTTGTGTTATTCACCTGATCAATCATTATATCATTTGTATGATTTCATAATATGAGATACAACTAATGCCACTTGCCTTCTGTTGTGAAGGAAGCTGGCAGACAAAGTTGCAGCTGCTGGCTTCTTTGTTGTGGTCCCTGACTTCTTTTACGGAGACCCTTTTGTACCTGGAGATGATGGATCCTATGCCAATCTACCTACTTGGTTAAAAGATCATGGACCGGTGGGTTCTCTTATTATGCAGGCCAAGATTTCTTTTGTTTATTTATAATTTAAGTACTTTTACAGTGTGATTCTTGAATTCACACAAAAGTTTCAGAACTTTTTGCGAAGTTCTAATTTTGGCTTTCTTTAAGTTGAAAATGTGTGTGGGTTCAGCTTAGAAGTCCAATTATTTTCTTTTGAAGTTCATATGGTTTTTAACTGCTGCTTCCACCTTTTTGACGAAAAGGAAAAAAAAAAATCTGATTTTGTGGTGTTTTAAAATGCAACTGTTGAGTGTGCGAGTATTGTTAAAATGTTGAGCTTCCGAACAGGACAAGGCATTCGAAGAATCAAAGCCAGTACTTGAAGTTTTAAAAAGTAAAGGTGTTTCTGCAGTTGGTGCTGCAGGATTCTGTTATGGGGGTGAGTTCATTTTCCGTTTCTGTCATCTTTTTTTTTATTTTTTTTTATTTATTAGTTTCTTTTTCAGTTTAACAAAATGTCTCATATTTCTACAGTTGTCTTTTCCCTTTTTGGATTATTTCTCATTCTTAATTCATTAGTTCAATTCACCCAATATTGGAAATATTGATTCGGTTAACATTGAATTATTTGTGCTGTTTTCAGCCAAGGTTGTTGTTGAGCTATCAAAGCATGACTTTATCCAAGCTGCTGTTCTGTGTCATCCTTCATTTGTCACTCTGGATGATATCAAGGGTAAGATTGTTTTATTTAATATTCAGGAAATATTTACATAATTAGTGTAATCATATTGTAATAATTATAATCAATAGGGTGCTTCTATTTGCAGCTAAAATGTCACTTCACACTCACTCTCTCTGTGCCTACCAGCAAAAATAAGATTTTTTTTTTCCTTTCTACACATAAACCCTGTTACCCCAATAATATTGTTGGTGAGAATAGCACTGCAAAGAAAACACAGAAAAAAAATTGTTTGAGGGGATGTTTAAGTAAATCTCTTTGAGGGTTATTTGGTAATAAGAACTTTCTTGACGCTAAAAAGTGAAAATAGGAGCACTCGAATTGTTATTGATTTCGACTGGGGAGATATTAAATGAAGAGAACCCTGGCATTCTAATTGTTGAAAAAAATAAAATTAAAAACAATTCAGTCACAGTTTATTGATCCATTCCTGGAATTGCTTTCAGCGGTTAAGGTTCCCATTTCGATACTTGGAGCTGAAATTGATAAGATGTCTCCCCCTGAAGTCGTGAAACAATTTGAAGAGGCCTTAACTGCAAAATCTGAGGTAGGTTATATCCTCAATCGAAAGTCTAATGTCTTTGTTGATTTTAATCATGGACATCCCTTAGTCCTTGAAATGAATTAAGATTTTGTCAATCTTTAATATCGTGCTATATGTAGAATTATGTCATGACTCATAAGTTATGGGTAGAACTTGGCCTTACAAAATCTTTCAAAACCACGGTTCGACTTGTGCCCACTTTTGTTTTTCAGTAACCATTCTTCCTTTTAAGTGGGCACAAGTCAAAATGTGATTTGCTATCTCAACTTGATGGAGAAATGACTATCTATATGATGTGTCATGCATTGTTCGGACCAGTCTTGTACCATCTTGTATGAGTTCCCCACCTTATCATTACTGGTGATCAACATTTTATTTTATTTTTTGAGAAATTTTAGGAACAGAACAAATGCCTGCTTTAATTTAACTCAAGACCTTATTGATGGGTTAAAAAGTACCACTGTTGTAGCTGATAGTGATAAAAATTTAAAGTTAGTAGAATAACTGTTGGTTTTATGGACACGCAGATTGAATGCCATGTGAAGATCTTCCCAAAAGTGGCACACGGGTGGACTGTGAGGTACAATGTTGAAGATGAAGCAGCTGTTAAGGCTGCTGAAGAGGCTCATCAAGACTTGTTGGAGTGGTTCTTGAACCATGTCAAGTGAATTCTATCATCACCATGAAGCGTTGCATTATCACTTAAGATGAGAACGGTTTGGACCTTATTTTATCAACTGCACTTTATTTACTATGGATCACAATAATGCCTGCAGTTTAGGTACCATTATGTGTAAATTTAGTTGCTTGGAGGAGAGTATAGGTTTGAAATGCATTGTTTAAAGTGAATACCAAATGGGATATTCATCATTCAAGTAAGAAACTGTCATGTAAGATGGGAACTATGTGGTGCTTATATTTTTGCAAGGAATGGTGGAGTTGAAGTTGTAGATGTTTACCCTTATTTTCTGAAGCATCTTAAGTTTGGCGTTTGGTGAGTGGTATGATTCTTTGATAGATTCCAACTTATGCTCATAAAGAATGATTTTTTAATTATTGTAATGGGTTTGAAGTTTTGTTCTTTTCGACTTCTCGCATTAGGCTTAGGTCATTGATGACATCATTTCAAGTGGCCCCGCTCCTAAACAAATATAGAGAAGTTCCAATGTTTATGCACACAACATTTTTTTTTATAAATAAAAAAAAACGTACACAATATTTTAATGTATCCACAAACCAAATTTATCATTTCATTGTAATTAGGTCGGTTGTGGTTTTCGTGTGAAACCGACTCGATTTAGACCTAACCCCTATACATGTTGAACATTCAAGTCATTTTAGTGGTCTAACAAAAATTAGTAGAAATTAGCTAACGCTAGTGAAAACAGGGTTAAAGTTCAAAGACCTCAAATGAATCCGGCCGTTAGACAGCGGGAATCTTAATCAAACTATACAAAACAAACCATTTCTGTAATTTGGCATAGAGAAGGAAGGCAGAGTCAACTTAACCAACTCAAAATAGAAACCGTTGGTTAGCCAAGCGACATTGCCAATTTGCCATAGCAGGAGGACGTCTTCTTCGTTGCCAAGCTCACAGACTCCAAGCAAGCAGCTTGAACCCATTGACCTTTCAACTTCCCACCACAAGTCAAAAGCTGATAAATTTGTTGGCCACGTCCGAGCTTCCAAAACTTTTATTGACCGGAGAAATTCTTTTCCTTTTTATTACACCTCTGCCGTCCTTGCTCAATTGAACACTGACAAAGAGTCTGTGCTTTGTGACTCGGAGAATGAGAAAGAAATCATGTCAGGCCCTCAGTGCTGCTCAAACCCACCAGCCCTGAACCCATCAAGTGGCTCCGGCCATGTTGAAAAGCTTGGTGGTTTCAATTCTTATGTCACTGGCTCCCCTGACTCTAAGCTTGCCATTCTTCTCGTCCATGACGCTTTTGGTACTTACCCATCACTTCAAAACTCTTTCTTTTTTGTCTCGTTTTAGTCCTTTGCATCTTTTGTTCAATATATGATTTGGGTTTATTTGCCTTACTGTGTCTTGGAGGTGTCTTTGTGTGTTTTTGGTTTAATGGGTGCTCTGAATATGTTTGGTTGACTGATCAAGGAATCAGTTTTTGTCATTTTCCCTTTTTTTCCTTTGCCTATGTGTGTGGATCATCTTTTCTTTTCTGTGCCCTGATAATGTTGAATTTGGTCATCAAAATGAATATTTGTAACTGATTTGCAACATGCCAAGGCTTCATATTTTTTTCCTTTGTGTGTTTACTTCGTCTTGTAATCTACTATTTACTTGTTAATATTACACGGTGTTTTGCCATGCAGGATATGAAGCTCCAAAAGCTAGGTATGATTTATTCCCATATCTGTTCTCTGAATTACTTTTTCTTGGATCTGTACCTTTCTTATGTTGTCCATTGTCTAATATCAACTTTGGGCCTTGAATCAAACTTTCTGATTAAATTTGATGACTTGTTGGATTCTTTGAAATATTTTACTTGAAAAGTACAATTTTAAGGGTCATGATAGGTCTATATGCAACTAAACTTTGAAGAACAATCATTAGTTTCAGATTGTATATCAGATACAGCAGTTATCCAGCTTCCTACCTCCTGATGCTTAGAAGACGTCAGAGATTTTATTTTCGAAGAACAATTGTGCTATTCACCTTTAGTTTGCATGTTTCCATATACCATATGCCATTTAACCAAAGCAACCTGCCTTCTCTTCTGAAGGAAGCTCGCGGACAAAATTGCAGCTGCTGGGTTCATTGTTGTGCTCCCTGACTTCTTCAACGGAGACCCTTTGATGGGAACCTTGCCTCTCTCCCTGTTTGGATAAAAGCTCATGGAGTGGTTGGTTCTTTTGTTTTGATGCAGATCTCTAAATATTTTGTTTATTTGTAATTTAAGTACCTTCACAAGTCACCCTATGTGATTCTTGAATTTACATAAAACTTAGATACTTGCTGGGAATTCTCATTTTGGGCTGCTTGAAGTTGAACACGTGCGTGGATTCAGTTTGGCAGTCCCATTATTGTTGCTGTTTTAAACTTTATATGGTTTTGAACTCTAGGTTGTTTCCACCTATTGTGACAAAAAATATACTAGGATCTTAAATTGTGGTGTTTTAAAAGTTGATATGGAATTGTCGAGTGCACAAGCATTGTTAATACTTGTAGCTTCTGAGCTCTTGTTTTTATATTGCCAGGACAAGACAATCGAAGATGCAAAACCAGTAATCGAAGCTTTAAAAAGTAAAGGCGTTTCTGCAATTGGTGCTGTAGGTTTCTGTTGGGGGGGTGAGTTCATTTAGATGATTTTTCCACTTTTCATCCTCAATTCATTGATTCAACCAATATGTCACATATTGTTTCAGTTGACATTGGTTTATTTGCCATGTTCCAACTTCCCAGGCAAGGGTGTGGTTGAACTTGCAAAGCATGACTTTATCCAAGCTGCTGTTCTGTGCCATCCTTCATTCGTCACTGTGGATGATGTCAAAGGTAAGAATTTTCTTCACATTAAAAAAGATCTTAATAGAAGCACTCAAATTACTGTTCAAGTGTGGAGATATTAGAGGAAGAGGAAAAACAATGTGGTTTTTCAATTTTCGCAAGAAAGATTAATAATATTTTAGTCTCAGTTTATTGATCCATTCCTGGAACTGCTTTCAGCTGTTAAAGTTCCCATTTCTGTACTTGGAGCTGAGATTGATCAGCTGTCTCCACCAGAAGTCCTGAAGCAATTTGAAGAGGTTTTATCTGCAAAACCTGAGGTGGGAAATATCCTTCATCAAAAGTCTTATATAATTTTAATGATTTTAATCATGCACATTCCCTGGTCCTCGGGATGAGTTCTGATTTTTTTTTTTTTCGTTTTGTTGAAAACTTTATACTTGTCGGAATGACTGTTTTATGGAACTGCAGATTAAAAGCCATGTGAAGATATTCCCAAAAGTGGTACATGGATGGACCTTGAGGTACAACGATGAAGACGAAGCAGCTGTTAAGGCTGCAGAGGAGGCTCATCAAGACTTGCTGGGGTGGTTCTTGAGCCATGTCAAGTGATTGGCATCGTCAGTGAAATGCTTTGTTGACACTTCAGAAGAACACAGTTTGGTGTAGCTTAATTATCTTCTCAGTTGCTTTATGTTTCATGGTTAGATTATGCCCTGCACTTCTATGTATCAATATTTGTATGTAATTGTCAGGCGCTTGGAGTAAAGTTTGAAATGCGTTGTTTTTTCTATACAAGCAATGTTGGTGAAAAGAACATAGAACCTTGAATGTAGGGCTAAATCTTCATAACTATTTGATCTACAAACTCCTTAAGTTAGAAATGAGTTATGCAAATACCCATGCATAAGTGACCTGTAGTGGTTACTTAAAAACAAGTATTTGCTTGATCAATAGGGATACACTTGGACATAGGATAAACAGCCGTCGGTTATAGGTAATAAAGTTGCGTTAACACATATAATATCAAATCTTAATACAATAGGCGAGTATTTCCTATTTTGATTATAGTAAAATAAAATAATAAAAAACAGTAGGCTTGCAAAAATTATTCTGAAATCGAATTATGAAACATAAAAACTGCACTGCATTTTCTGGTCAAAAACTGCAACAAACGAAAACTGCCTTGCAATTTATGAAAAAACATCTGCTCAAATGTGAAAAGAAACCAAAAGGCAAAGCCATGATCAAAGTACTAAAACTAAGTTCAAAACACATTTAAGTCCAGGAGCAGTTGTAACATTCCCAAGGACTGGCAAAAATTATTCTAAAATCGAATTATGAAACAAGAAACTGCAGTATTGTCAAAAACTACAACAAACGGAAACTGCAATGCAGTTTATGAAACAAAATGTGTTCAAATGTGAAAACAAGCATTGAATGGCAGTTAAAAATGAATATCCACTGATGAAACAATTGCATAATTTTCATTAACTTTATAAAAAAAAACCATAATATTCAATTAGAAGCTGTGTAGCCAATTATAAGCAACTAAAAACTGTAATGCAATGTTCGCAAAAACTGCAATGCAGAAACTGCCTATACATTCACTAAACCATATCTAATATAAGCAATCATCAACTGAGAAGGAATGTTCATATCACCGCCTTGCAAGTCTTCTTGTTGTGCCCAGCAACACTGCATTGACTGCATTGATTGCATTTCAATGGCCTTGTACCTTCACCAAAAGCTTTGATCCTCTTCAATGGTGGTCTTTCGGTGGGCCTCTTTGTAATTGGCAGAAGCACATCTGCATCAGCAGAACTGTTGGTTCCCAAGCCTTTCCCAATATCTGGAATAGGAAGAATAAGAATCTCATAGGCTTTTCGAAAGAAGTCAGACATGTAGTAACACTCAATGTAATCATAAACTAAATCTTTCTTTGCTAGAATTGCAGCCACAGCATGCGTATAAGGAAAACCATCAATTTGCCAAAGACATCAAGAACATGTCCTAATGCCCAAGATGTTCCATCATAGAAAAATCAGCAAATACTTCAAAAACAATACAACTAGAACGACGAACAGCCCAAGTCCTACCAACCTCCTATTTTCCCACAGTCTAGTTTCCATCTTCGGACACAAAATTGTTGTCCACTTCTTAGCTTCAATTCGTAATTTCTTTTGATACCCTACACACAAATTTTTTGGGGTTGAAATTTTACCAATAAATAAACAATCTAAGACTATAATGAACTTCACATATGAAAATAATCACAAAGTTTTATAGGTCTATAAAAATGGGTACAATGAGAAGTTAAAATGTTAAAATTTTACCAATAAATAATCTAAAACTATAATGAACTTCACATATGAAAATAATCACGAAGTTTTAGAAACACTGGCACATATACATATTTAGTACCAGTTGTATAAATCTATAAAAATGAGTAGAATGTGAATTTAGAATCAAAAAATGGAAACAAAGTGAAGTTACATTTTGATGAGTTTGCTGTAGAGATCATAGTAA